GGGCGGGCGCCGGGGCGAGGCGGGCGGGCGCCGGGGCGATGGGCTTGAGGCGCGAGCGAGCGACCCTCAGAATGGGGCCCAGGCTCCGACGGCCGGCGCCGAGGTGAGGGGGGGCTCTTGCGGGTCGTCGCGTGGGGCGGCAGGGGGACGCACCGGTGGTCGTCAGGGCGTCGGACGGCGCGGCGATGCGCGCGGCGTCGAGCAGGTGTCGAGAAGCAGGCGTTGAGGACAAGAGCGCACTTTGGCTGACGACGGCATCGCTCCAGTTTTTGCCTTTTCGCCACTGGCCCGCACCTCGACGACCACAAACGAGAGACCCTCGTGGACGCCTCGATTACAAACGAGAGACCCTCGTGTACGCCTAGACCACAAACGAACGAAAAAATCTCGTCGTAAAGAAATCGCGAGCTCACTCGGTCCATGCGTCGCCACCTCTTCCTACTCGTCGCCTCCCGCCTCGCCGCCTCGACCCCCCTCCCCGCGGGCGCGCCCGAGGAGTCGGAGCTCCTCAGTTTGGTGGCATCCGGCGCCCGCGGCCCGCCGCCGGCCGTGTGCTCGAACGCGACGGCCCGCGGCTCGCGCCCCTCCTGCCGTCATTTTCGCGCGCCGCCGCCCGCGGCCGCGGCGCTCTGCGCGTCGCTCGTGCGATCGACCTACGGCTCGGCGCTCTGGCAGCGGCTCGACGCGGCGCTCGCGAAAGCGCCGTCGCCGTCCGTGCACGTGCTCAGTTCCTGCGGCGCGCACGCGCTCCTCGAGAACTGGCTCTGCAGCGTCGCGGCCGCGAACGCGTCGCGCCTCGCGCACGTCGTCGTCTGGGCCGCGGACGCGTGCTCGCTCGGCGCGCTCGCGGCCGGCTGGCCCGGCGTCGCGGCCCTCGACGCGACCGCGTGGTTCGCCGGCGGGCCGGACCTCGCGCGCGCGACGGGCCCCGACGACGACACGGGCGCGTACGCGCGGTTCTCGGCGCTCAAGGCCTTCATGCCCTACGCCGTCGCGCGCCTCGACCGCGACGCGGTCACGCACGACGCGGACGCGGTCTGGCGCCGCGACGTCGTGACCTACCTCCAGCCGCGCGGGCCCCGGGGCCGGCGGCGGCGCCGCGCGAGGCAGGACAGCCTCGTCTTCACGCACAACTCGAACTCGAGCCGGTGCCCGCAGCAGATCAACGGCGGCTTCGTCTTCGCGCTCGCGCGGTCGCCCGTCGCGCGAAAAGCGCTGTCGGCCTGGTTCGGCGCCTGCGCGAATTTGGTGACGCCGAACGTGCGGGCGCCGACGGCGCGGCGGCCCCGCGGATCCGCGAAGATCGAGAACCAGCCGTTCCTCGAGGCCGCGGTGAAAGACGCGCTCTACGACCTCGGCGCGTCGTGTGGATACGGCGAGGGCGACTACGACGTCCGGGTCCTGGACAACGCGCTCTTCCAGGCCGGCTACGTCGGGGCGTCGCCGGCCGCGGTCTTTTTCCACGCGAACCACCGCGCGGGCTGGCGCGCCAAGTGTCTCGCGCTCCGCGACGCGGGCGCGCTCTACGTCGCCGACTGCTCGGGCGACGGCTCGCCGGCGGCGCTCGGCGCCTGCGTCGCGCCGGGGGCGCGACACCTCGCGGACGACGACGTCGCCCCGCGCCGCCGCAAGGCGGCGGGCACGTCCCTCGTCGGCCTCGCGATCATGGCGGCCGAGCTGGCGATGTTGTGCGGGATCGTCGCGGCGCAGCTCTAATATGCGGCGACTCCAACCTTTTTAAAGGGTTCAAAGTTGGGGGGGGGGAGTGATCTACCCCGCGTCCAGCTTGCGCAGGCGCTGGACGACGTGGTCGAGCCCGCCCTTGCTCAGGCAGACGTGCTTGCTCCGCTCCAGCGAGCAGAGGTCGTAGTCCACGGACCGGTTGGACTGGAGCTCGACGGCGTAGCCGCGGTCCCGGAGCGCGCCGATGGTCTCCAGGACGAGCGCCCGGCCGTCGCGGATCTGCGCGGGCGTGGAAAAATACTTGCCGGTCTTGTCGTTCTCGCCGAAGTGGAGCACGGCGACGACGTAGACGGTCCGGTCGGCGCCGCCGCGCAGGTGGCCGTCGACGCAGCGCGTCACGTTGGCCGTCGCGAAGGCGTTGCGGTCGCCGGCGCGCAGGTGGACGCTCACGTGGTCCTCGTGCGGGAACGGCGCCGGGAACGCGCTCCGGCAGAGACGCTTCAGGAGCCGCCACTCGGGGTCGCGCGCCATGTCCCGCAGGTACGCGCGCAGGATGCTGCGCTCGTAGGTCGGGTCGCTCAGGATCGTTCGCCGGTCCTGCTTCCAGCGCTTGCCCTTGCGCAGGACGACGTCGCCGACGCGGTAGACCTGCTGGCGCGCCGCGACGCGGACGTCCGCGGCGCGGAACGGCCCCGCGGCGGCGCCGTCGTCCGCGCCGTCGTCCGCGCCGTCGTCCGCGCCGTCGCCCGCCGTGGCCGCCGCGCCGTCGCCCGCCGCGCCGTCGCCCGCCGCGTCGCAGCGGCCGCAGGCCGCGGGGCACGCCTCGGCGAGCGGCGCGGCGCCCGGCGCCGCGCGGAACTCGCACCGCCGCGCGTCGCCCCGGACCCAGTCGCACGTCCGGTCGCGCCGCTTCCCCTTGAAGACGACGGCCGCCGAGTCCGCGCAGGGCGTCGACGGGCGCCGCTCGTCGCCGGGCCTCGACCCGCTCGCGGCGGCCGCCGCCGCGACGAGCACGACAAGCGTGCGTCGGCCCATGGACTGGCGGTAGTCCGGCGATGACACCGGGACGATTCCTCGACGGCGCGGGACTTCGGCGTGTGGCCACGAAAAAGCGACGCGCGGCGATGCCGCGGCGGCGTCGACCAGTTTTGTACGCTCGAGGCCTGCGGTAAAGAATCGCTAAGTCACGAATCTACCCTGGTCGCGACTTTCTCACGTAGAGGAGGTGGAGTAACCCGGAGTACAGTATGCCCCATAGAAATCCGGACTATACTTTTAGGAGTACAGAGGAGTAGGGAGTACAGAACGAAGAGTACGATAAGATAGTTAAGAAGTAGGGAGGCGTCGGGGCAGATCCTGGCAGAACAGGATCGCAGAATCGGAGCACGTCCCAGATGCGCCATCATCGCGGAGACGACAGCAAATTTCGTTTGAGAGTATCGAATTCGCTCTGGGTAATAGCCCGGGCCGTCAGGAGATCATTCAGTTCCGAAATCTTTGCGATCAAGTTCCCAGTATTGCCCCTCGGAGTCGCAGGAGGTGCATGGTGCATCTGAGGCATGGATTGATGGGGCATGGAATGCATGGGATGATGGTACATGGGCAGTGGAGTCAAAGGCATGGCTTGATGGGCATGCATTGGAGCTCCACTGAAGAATTGATTGGAATTTGAGATGATGCTCGGATTAGCGTACGGAGGCATATACGAAGGAGGCACAGGCGAGTCAGAAGTCACAGCAGGAGTCGGAGAAGTTCGTGTAGCAGGTGCCGGGGCTTGCGAATCATCCATAAGAGCATTCATCCCATCCATGCCATCATCGTCATTCTCGAACTCTTTATCCAGCTCCGAAGCAAGACCCGAAGCAAGTCGATCCAAGTCCACATCTGACCTCTTAATTTGATCCGGCATCGTAGCGTTGATACTCTCGACCAGTTCACTGCTCGGTGTGCAATCCTTGTAGTACTTGGTGACCTTAGGCGGATGGGTGAGAAGAAGTGCAAGACGTGCGTGGTCTGCGCTGCTCTTCATGGCTCCGGTACGATAAGTCCCTGCATTGGAATCCATGGCTGAAATCGCTTTGAGTCTTGACGTCACGTGCCCAAGAAGAAGCATGATGAAATGATCTGGTACCCCACGTTCAGTGAGGTACGAGTCCATTCCGTAACGGGCGCTTCCAAGGCTGTAAACCCCAGATTCCGGAATCATTTTCCCAAATCGCTCTCTCGTCGGTGGTGGAATAGTTGGGTCAGTCCTCATGGCCTTGAGAAGCGAAGGAATAAAATTAATCATATTTCGTCCAACCGGCTGGCCCCACCAAACCTTCGAAGCCCTGGTAACATCTGCCCGCGGCTTTAGTATCAACCGGACATCATTCGGCGGCAGCTTGTCGTTTACTCGAAACTGTCCAGGAGGCTCGCTTGAGGGAGATCCAGGAGGCCTGCCACTGAGCAAAGTCTCAAACCGTTCAACTATACCAGCATTCGTACCACCGTCAATGATAAAGTATGGCGGTTTTTGGACAAGTTTGCCCATGGCATTAATCCTCGTTGTCTTCAGCGGCCATGTCTCCAATCCCCAAAGTCCTTTTTTGCCACCAGCTAAGTTCACAGGGATCAGATCGTAAGTGCAGAGCTTTTCATATTGCTCGACCGCTCGACCAAGAGCGTTGTAGGCGATGTCCAGCTGAAAGCGGAACCTGATGAGAGTTAGGTGTTGAGCAAATCTGCTGAGGTGGACAGTGCGGGTGTCTCCGGAGGAAACACAACGTCGGTGATAGTCGTCAAGAAGTTGTATTTTCAAACTAGGTCCGTCTCCACGAGTAAGTGTGATGAGGCGGTCCACGTATTTTTTCATGTGGTCAAAGATAGCTGCTGGAATGGGGTCGGTCTTCGTGTGGCCCACTCGAGCGTAAAGCTCCGCACGGCCTTCAGCATTTGACAAGGTAATCTCTTTCTGGAAACGCAACCCAAAATCCTTGTACGACTGATTCAGGCGACGGTAAGCAGTATCAGTTTTGTTCCAAAAACCCCAATTGCCCAATTCCGTAGCCCTTTGGCTGTCCTTGCCTTCCCGCAACCTACGATTTGAGTGTCATGTTCCAAAATCTCAAAGTCAAAAAGTGTAAAAAAAAGGGGGACGCTGGCCCGACCGTAGATATGACTGAATGGAGTCAAGATTTTTTTTGATGCCGGTGGGGGCATACATCCGGGATGGGTTGTCGAGGCACGTTGCCGTCTGCATGTAGAGGATTAAACAGGAGACGCGCTCCGAGTGGTTGACCATGTAGAGCGCGTCAACGGGCGCTACAGCTCGGCCTGCTTGGAGTTCGGCCTTGACCTGGGCCTCGCATGCGACGCGGAACAGGTCGACGTCCTCGCCGTCGTAGCCCGAAAAGAAAATTCTGTTCAGCGTAGAGTCGTAGGAGTTCAGACCTATGAGGGAGGGATGTGGTGAAAGGTATGATGAGGGGTGGGGGTGGGCGCACCAGTGGCGTTTTTGACCGATTCAACTCGGGGCGCATGGGTGCGAGGAAGCGATGGTCGAGGGTGGGGAAGAGGAGGGGCTCCTCGCCCTCGCCCAGCAGGAGGAGCGCCCCGAGGGAGTGGTGGAGGTGCGGGAGCGGGTACAGGTGGCTGGGGAGCGGGTACAGGTCGTGGCGGCGGTGGCGCGCCGAGACGATCCCGGCACCGGCCCCGGCCCCGGCCGGCCGGCCGGCCGGCCGGCCGGCCGGCGGGGCGCGCCCCGGGAGGCCCAGCCCCGCGGCCCCGCGCGGGCGCGACGCCCTTGGAGATGTCGCGCGGGGCGGGTGGGGAGGCTGGGGGGGGGGCTTGGGACGCGTACCTCCGGCCGCTGGTGTCGGACACGTTCATGAGCGTCCGCGGCTTCCTCAGCCTTTTCGTCCTCGAAGCAGCTGGAGCGTCCTCGAAGGACGTCTCCTCGACGGGCAACTCCGGGAAGTCGAGGAGCCCGTCGTCGGACCCCGCGAGGTCCGCGAGGTCCTCGTCGTCGAAGAGCGAGAGCCCCCCGAGGCTCTCGCGCGCGCTCGAGACACGGTCGGTCACGGACACGCTCGGGCGAGAGGGGGAGGGGCCCGGGGAGGGCTGCTCCATGCCCCACGGCACCAGGCCCGGGGCCCAGTCCTCGTCGCCCGCCATGCGGGGTGGGTTGGGAACCGGCTGTCAGTGCGCTTCTGAGCTCTCACAGCCACTCGATCCCGCATACGTATGCGTTTAACACAACGCCGGAAGGATATATATCACGAATAACTAGAGTTAAGATTTAAAATAAGGGGGGTCGACGATGGGCCCCTACTTCGACGACGCCTCACAGAGCGACGGCAGAGAGAAAACATGACCAGCAGAATGCAGGAGGCGGAAGGGTGACTCCACTCAGAGTAGACCGCTCGAGGCTGCGTCGCACCGTCCTCGGGCTGCGCCCTCGGACGGTACTCCTTGCCCCTCGGGTCTACTCTTCACTGGGGTGCGCCGCCTAATGCGCTAGAGAGAGACCCTCTTATGATTATTATTATGGGTGCTTTAACGTGGGGACTTTGGCGGCCGCCCGTGGGCGGCAGTCGGCGCATGCGGATCAGGTCGGCGACCGTGGAGACCACGCAGTCGAGAGCCGGGGTGTTCACAGCACCCCTTCGGTGGAGGTCGCTTCTCAAAAAAACACCCCCAAAAAACAACCACAGTACATTCTATTACACACACTCACAGGTCGCACACGCCGCACGTCTCGGGACAGGCTTCCATGGCCTTGACCTTGGAGCTGTCCTTCTTCTTGCAGTTCTTCGCCTTCTTGGTGACGAACTTGGCGCACGTGTTCTTGGGCTTCTTGTAGAACCAGGACGCGCTGTCCTCGCAGGCCGGCGCGGGGACCGGCGCGGGCGACGGCTCGGGCAGGTACCACCTGACGTGGAGCTTCTCGCCGTCGTCGCAGCCGTCCGCGTCGGCGAAGTAGGCGTTGTCGCCGACCTCGTCGACCGTCGACGCCACGGACGAGACCGCCTCGGCGTTCTTGAAGCTGCACTTTTTGAAGCGCGTCTTGCTCGACATGCGCATGATCTCGCGGCCCGGGTCGGACTCGAAGCGCACGGTCCGGCCGGCCTCGACCTCGAGGTACGTGTCCCCCGGGGGCCACTTGATGGAGATGACGTCGCCGCCGGCGGCCGTGGGCTCGGGCGCGGGCCCGGGCGACGGCGCGGGCGACGGGCGCGGCGTCGGCCGCGGCGTCGGGTCGCGCGTCGGCGCCGGCGTCGGCCGCGGCGTCGGGTCGCGCGTCGGCGCGGGCGTCGGCCGCGGCGTCGGCGCGGGGACGATCTTCCGCGTGGGCTCGGGCGTCGGCGTCGGGGTCGGCGCCGGCTTCGTGGGCTTTTGCGTCGGCCGCGGCGCGGGCGCGGGCGTGGGACGCCGCGTGGGCTCCGGCGTGGGGCGCTTCGTGGGCTCCGGCGTGGGGCGCTTCGTGGGCTCCGGCGTGGGCCGCGGCGACGGCGCGCGGCTCGGCCGCGGCGTCGGCTCGGGCGTCGGCGCGGGCGCGGGCGCGAGCGACGGCCGCGGCGTCGGCCGCGGCGTCGGGTCGCGCGTCGGCGCCGGCGTCGGCCGCGGCGTCGGGTCGCGCGTCGGCGCGGGCGTCGGCCGCGGCGTCGGCGCGGGGACGATCTTCCGCGTGGGCTCGGGCGTCGGCGTCGGGGTCGGCGCCGGCTTCGTGGGCTTTTGCGTCGGCCGCGGCGCGGGCGCGGGCGTGGGACGCCGCGTGGGCTCCGGCGTGGGGCGCTTCGTGGGCTCCGGCGTGGGGCGCTTCGTGGGCTCCGGCGTGGGGCGCTTCGTGGGTTCCGGCGTGGGCCGCGGCGACGGCGCGCGGCTCGGCCGCGGCGTCGGCTCGGGCGTCGGCGCGGGCGCGGGCGCGAGCGACGGCCGCGGCGTCGGCCGCGGCGTCGGGTCGCGCGTCGGCGCCGGCGTCGGCCGGGGCGTCGGGTCGCGCGTCGGCGCCGGCGTCGGCCGGGGCGTCGGGTCGCGCGTCGGCGCGGCCGTCG